TATATATATATATATAGCTATATATATATATATATATATATATATATATATATATATATATATATATCTATCTATATATATATATATATATATATATATATATATATATATATATATATATATATATATATATATATATATATATATATATATATATATATATATATATATATATATATATATATATATATATATATATATATATATATATATATATATATATATATATATATATATATATATATATATATATATATATATATATATATATATATATATATATATATATATATATATATATATATATATATATATATATATATATATATATATATATATATATATATATATATATATATATATATATATATATATATATATATATATATATATATATATATATATATATATATATATATATATATATATATATATATATATATATATATATATATATATATATATATATATATATATATATATATATATATATATATATATATATATATATATATATATATATATATATATATAGAGTAAAAAATCTGAAAAATTTAAAAAAAATATATATTAATTTTTTCACTTTTAAATAAAAAATGTATTAAATTTTTCTGTTTTTTTTTTGTTTTTTTTTAATTCATTTATTTATTTATTTATTTTACCAAAATTAGGTTAACTATCATCCTGTAAAGATATTTTCCCATATTTTTCCTCTAGACTTTTCTCTGAAGGGTGGAATATCATGCCAATTCCATGCATGTTCAATAAGAAAAGGTCTGGAGAGGGTTTTCTTCAATGCCAAAAATATTAGTAATTTATTAGATACAGATGAATAATTGGATGACAGAGCTCTGGGTTACATTACCCCAATGCAATACAAGAATTACATTCAAGAGGTTCGCAACTAACATACATTTCCTGACTCCAGCATATATACACAACTGATATTAACAGGTGGAGTTTTGGTTTAACGTCACTTCTTTGTCATTCTGCAGTCCCTTGGCCCTTTGTAACCCCAAGTCATTACTTTCTCTTCTCTGCAACCCTTCTCTGCATACCAGAACTGAACAATCACATGCATCTTTAATATATTTCACACTTCTACAAGCATCATGTGACATGTCTAGACAGCAGTGTGAAACAAACCTAAATTTATTCTTATTCTGCTTTTTCCACCAGTCAGCAGTTCTCCAAAAAAGTATGCAGCACAGTAAAAAAGAGGAAGTTTGTCTGGTCAAGATGATTTGTAATACAATGGAAAAGATTGATTAATCTGTTGTTAGTCTAAACATTTTCCTAATAAAAACACAAAAGTAATGAAAATAAATTCCTTTTCTTCAACACAATAAATATTAAAGGGCCGACCCTCCCTATACGCAACCCATACCACAGAACCAGCAGTGCTGCCCCTTGCTCTTGAATGTAAGTTCTGTTCTGTGCTTTCGTTTAATTTAGGCATGAAAACACTTTGAAATAAATATAAAATTGGCAGAGCTGGTACAAACCGGCGACCTTCCGCACTTACTCGCTGGCCTCTGCTACACGTGTTTGAACAGAAATATAATAATAATAATAATAATAATTTTTATTTATATAGCGCCTTTCCAGAGCTCAAGGACACTTTACAAGGAATGCAACAAAAAGATAAACAAACATACATGAGGACAAATATAACAAACTTGAATAACACAAACAAGACCTAAGAGAAATATGAGCAGGATAGTGGTGGATCAGATTAAGTGGTCAGTTTGGTAGATCAGATGCAAAGCATTCAGAAAATAAGTGAGTCTTAAGTAAGGATTTGATTTCAGAGATATTATTAGCCGAGCGAAGTGAGTGTGGTAGAGAGTTCCAGAGTTTGGGTGCAATAACACTAAATGATCTGCCCCCCATTGAAGAGAGGCGATACCGAGGGACAGCAAGAAGGCCAGAGTCAGCAGACCGTAAAGAGCGAGTTGGGGTGTAGGGGACAAGCATGTTGCAGAGATAGGAGGGTGCAAGGTTATTTAAGGATCTAAATGCAAGGAGGAGAATTTTGAATTTAATCCGGTATGCAACCGGGAGCCAATGAAGATCATAAATAAATATTGACATAATAAAATATAAATAAATATAAATATACACAAAATTAACAATAATAACATCTAAAGATGTAGATCTTGGTGAGTTTTTTTTTTTATTCAAACACAACTAATTTTGTCCTCAATGAGTATAAAACGTTAGAAAAGCAATCGAATGCTTTCATCGTTAGATGTGTGCACTTTTAAAGCGACCCTTCACTTTCTATGGCAGGCATTTCCCATATTTTCACATCCCAACGTTGACATCTATGTATATATATTGAATAATAGAACACACATAGTCAACATTTGTTTTAATGTTCAATGATGAGCTGAAAAGATTTCGTGTGGGCCTACTTTTTATATCACTGCATTAAAAGAAGAGCCCTTATTGAAGTCCCACCATAAACACAGCGGTGATTTTTTCCAAGGGCCTGGCTTTTCAAAAATGCACACATCCTGAGGAAGAAACGCGTTTCCTGATGCCCCTTTACACAAAGAAAGGCGTATCCGCGTGTGTGTTCAGCGAGCGTTCAGAATCTGCGTCACGTTCACCTGTGAGGATGGGAGCGGGTCTGCTGTGGCTCGGCCTGGCCGGACTGTGTAAGGATACACACTTTTGCAGTTCACACCGTTTATTATCTGTTCAGTGTCTTCATCCCTCTGTTTTCTGCTTCCCCTCCTGCAGGGCAAGCGCTCGGCACGCGGGCAGGTAAGACTACCGTTCAATTGCTTTAGCTGGACAGTGTCGGGACAAGAGGGTTATTTTTACTTCTCGCAGACTAACACCTGAACGCTTGATTTATGTAGCTGGGAAAAGGGAGAGTTTAGATTTTAATCCTTGTGTATGTAATAACTCGTTTCTTATACCTGATTTATTTGATCTTCGCCATGATGGCAACACATCATATTTGATTAGATAATATAGTATTCAGCTTAAAGTGATGTTTAAAGACTTAACTAGGTTAATTAAAGTTAGGGTAATTAGTCAAGTCATTAGCTACGTCCCAAATTGCATACTTATGCACTATTCTACGCCATTTTGTAGTATAAATAGTGTAAGTAGTGTGTCCACATTGAAAACTCTAAAGATAATAAGTGCACTTTAATTACCCGGATGATGCACTCATTCAGCCGCTAAAATGAAGTGTGTAATGATGGACACTTCACGCACTCAACGACCGCAGGTTTGCTTACGTAGTGAAAGGGGCGGAGCTATCGGACGCACATGTTGAATAACTTTATTTATTTTGGATGGTGAAAGCAAAATTCTCCTATGAGAGTGATTATAGCGCCTCCCGGTGGTGAATGCGGTTATACCCACGGCAGGTATTATTTGATAATTCGGTCGTTTATTTCACTGATTTGGCGACCGTCAAATGTCATCAGCGAAACGGTTTGAATTTCCGCTTAGTAAAAAAACATTAGTGCTCCATTTAGTACATAGTGCATGAGTGCATAGTGGATAGACCTTTTTCATGGCTGCTGCATGGAGGGCGCCATAGCGACCAGCGTCTTCCGGTAGAATGCTAAAATTTTCGTTTACAGCGTGTACAACTGGTAATTTGCGCTCCGAAAATGGGTTTCAATAACGTTTTTAATGGATAACAGAGTGTTTTTGTGACACACAACTTAGAAATATGTCTGTTAAAGCCGTTATAATCTGTCACATGTGGTACAAGCGCGTCAGAAATACGAGAAAAATGTTCTCCTAGTTCACGTGTCTGCCGTCAGAAATGCAGTGTGTGTACACACAGAGAGAGAGAGAGAGAGAGAGAGCGCGCGAGCAAACCAGAGTACTGCATGAAACTTGACAGGTATTAAAGTCGTGCAATTTACAAAGTGTGGTTTATTCATAAACTAATTTCGAGAGGATCACGTGCTTATAATCAACACGGCTGGCTCCTTATTAGCTCCGTAATCAGCCCCATTAGATGATTACGGAAGCATTATAAATAACCTGAGTTTATCACTCCAGTTATCTTCGTCTTGAAGCTCCCCCCCTTTCCACCCCTTCATCCTCCTCCTTTCCTGATGGGCGACACGGTGGCCCAGTGGCTAGCACTGTTGCCTCACAGCAAGAACACCGCCGGTCCAACTTTTCGGGCCGGTCGGTGTTTCTGTGCGGAGTTTGCATGATCTCCCCGTGTTCGCGTGGGTTTCCCCCGGGTTCCCCGGTTTCCTCCCACCGTCCAAAACATGAACCATAGCCAAATTGACTAAAACAAATTATCACCCAATACAACCTCAGTTCATACTTCTCACGGTGACAAGCAGGGGAGTTTTCGAGACCTACCTGACCTCGAACTCCCCTCTCGCCCTTCTAACGGGAGGGAGCCCCGGGCTCGAGGATATTACGAGCTCAGGGCTCTCTCCCGGGACAGCATGCCAAATACGCTTTATTGATTATCAGCTAAGTGTGAACTCTTGAAAATGAGCAATAAAAGTCTGTTATTGATCCTCTGCTGGCTGATTTGCTGTTCATTCTAATCGCGAGCCGTTTGTGTTTTATTTCGTGTGTTGTTTTCACCACGGTTTGTGTTTTTCTGTCGTTTTGAAATGACACTAGCCTATATTTTCACTTTGTCACAGTTATTAAATCAGTGTGTCAGTGGCACAGTACAGGCTACGTGTGTGTGTAAACATTTTGGTGAACTACATTAGTTTGGGCTGGTTATATATTTGAAATAAAGAGAAAATGTTGACTTTAGCGATGACGAGGCTTCATTTAAACTGCTGAAGATGCCGTCTGACAACGAGGGGAAAACGCCTCACAGCAGCTGTTTTCCATCCCATTAGATCGCATTTCTTTAAATGATCAGTCCAGGAGATGCTGCTGATGGACAACAGTATTAGTTCAAAGAGGGTAAAAGCAGGTAAAATAGAGTAAAACTATCGTTTCAAAGCTGTTCAAATGTGACTGTTTACACGCATCAGCTGCCGACCGGAAGTTCTTCGCATTCTCCTTGCGCAAACACGCAAAGCATCATGGGTAATTTTGCGTTCCAAGAAAAAGGTCTATAGTGTGGCATTTGGGACGCAGCTATAGTATGACAGTGGCGTGTTCTGACTATCGAAAACGCATTGCTGAAGGGGGATAATAATATTAACCTTAAAAGAGATTTAAAAATATTAAAAAACTGCTTTTATTCTAGCCGAAATAAAACAAATAAGACTTTCTCCAGAAGAAAAAATATTATAGGAAATTCTGTGATAATTCCCTTGCTCTGCTAAACATCATTTGGTAAATATTTGGCGAATAATTCAGACTTCAACTTCCCTTTTGGGTTAAAAATGTCACTAAACATTTAAAATAAAGAAGCTAAACACCTTAATTGGAAAAATATAAATAAACCTAGAATAGGAAAGTGGATTAAAGAAATGGCATCGCATATGTCAATGGAAAAGATCACATACATTATCAAAAAGAAACAAAATGTGTTTGAAGATATCTGGAGACCTTTTAATAACTTTCTAAAGTGCAATGTAAATGTGGACAGTCTACTACAACTAGAACAGGCTTAGGAATATGGGAAGTATCATGGTCTAAACTGATTTAAACATATCCCCCTTTTTTCCTTTTTTTATTATATTTATTTATTTGGTGATTTATTTTTATTTTATTTATTTACTTATTTATTGTTATTTATTTTATTTGTTTATTTTTAAGGGATTGGGTTGTTGGGAGGGAGAATGGGGGTAAAAAGTTTGCTGTGCCTTCATGATTATTGTTCTGTATTTGTGTATTCTGTTGTAATATTTAAATTGAAAAAAAGTAATAAATATATTGTACAAAAAAAAAAGAAGCTAAATACAATTTCAATTCTCAAATCTATTTTGGATGAAGAAACAACCTCATTCAAACTAGCTAAAGCAGCAGATTCCTATTGTGTGTGGTTTTTGTGGTGTAATAATGGCTGCATAGCTGGCGGGTCAAAACTGGCCTGAAGGACAACCGTTGTATCCTAAATGTGTTCAGCCTTCATGAAAATTGCAAAGTAGGAAATGATTCATTCTTTCTAATGTTGAACTCATTTTAGGAAAAATCACCAAACTTCAAGATAAAAAAACGAAAAAAAATCTGCTGTTAAAATGGTGTCTGGGTCATTTTGAAGAGGGTTAAGACTTGAGGAGGAGTTTTCAGAGCATGTTCGTAACTTTGGGTTTGAAAATTAGTGAGGTCTGGATGGTTTGTGAGGAATGATTGACAACGAGTTGTTGAATTATTACGAAATAATTATGGTGGTGATGGCGACATGGTGGCTCAGTGGTTAGCACTGTCACCTCACAGCAAAAGGTCGCTAGTTTGAGTCCTTTCTGAGCCGGGTGGTGTTTCAGTGTGGAGTTTGCATGTTCTCCCTATGTTTGCATGGGTTTCCTCCGGGTGCTTTGGTTTCCCCCATAGTCCAAAGACATGTGTTATAGGGGAATTGAATAAACTAAACTGGCTGTAGTATATGATTGTGTATGTGTAAATAAGTGTGTGTGTGGGTGTTTCCCAGTGCTGGGTTGCAGCTGGAAGGGCATCTGCTGCTGGCATATGCTGGAATAGTTGGCAGCTCATTCATAATAAATTATGGTGACTTAAGAAAGCCAGCATACTAACATATTCTAACATAATAAACTTATTATTGTCTTCTGAGATAATAACCCTGCTAGAAAATCCAGCTTAAACCAGCCTAGGCTGGTTTAAGCTGGATTTTTCAGCAGGGAATATCTATCTATCTCCCCTAAATCCTTCAAGCTATGTCGTTTAACCTCATGTCAGACCTGCCAGATACCAATCTGACTCAGGTTACTCTATCTTTTCTAACTGATCCAATTTTCAGTTTTCCGAAAACTATGTAGAAAAATTAATAACATGCTAATTCATATAAAAACATGCTAGCAAAATGCTAACTCATTTTAGAAACATGCTTGTAACATACCAATTCATACTAGAATCATGTTAACATGCTTATTAATACTTTAATCATGCATGCTAACAACATGCTAATTCATGCTAGAATCATGCTAACAACATGCTAATTTACTCTATAATCATGCTAGCATACATGCTGATACTAGAAATATGCTTGTAACACTAATTCTTGCTAGAATTATGCTAGCAACATGCTAGTTCACACCAGAATTATGCTAGCAACATTCTAATTATTTTAGAAACATGTCTTTACTAATTAATACTATAATGTTAACAACACGCTTATACCCCCATCAAGTCTACCGACGTACATGGTGAGCTAAAGGGACAAACTGGTTACAGCTGGAAAGCCATCCACGTGGAAGTAAGCGGTCAGCTGGCAAGCGTGATATGGAACAGTGTCATAGCGGGCCATAGCGTTCGTTTAAAAAATGAAATGCAGCCAAACGTACCTCTGGCTACATATTTTGCGGTGTCCAGAAATGTATATACTACATTTTCAGAATGAGCTTGTGTTGATATGATTATGCATTCTTGATTTTTGGTGTTTTTCACTATTGGGAAGATGTTTAAAAGTGTCATATTTACTGTTAATCATCAGTTGGCACTATTAATGCTTTAAATAGGATAAGTAGATTGGATGGAAGTCAATGGGGTAAAAACAACCCTGAACATAACAAAAGGGTAGTCAATTTGCCCAGAGTGTATATTGTTGAGTTTTTTCAAATTTTCAAAGCATTTCCCCAAAATTTGTGTTTAAATAAGATTTGTCACCAAAAATCATTCAATTTGCTGAAACACAAAGGAAAAGTTGTGGCCACCCTCCTTGAAAATCCTGCTTAAACCAGCCTAGGCTGGTTTAGGCTGTTTTTTTCAGTAGGGCAAATTAAGACTTAATTAAGACAATGGATGAAAACATCTCCAACAGCACACAAGAGTTAAATCTGTTGTTTTTTCTCTCTGTTGATCTTTTATTTTTCATAATCGTGATCTCTATTTAAAAAAGTTCCTGCAGGTTCATGCAGAATTCGTGCAGCTCTTCTCAATCCAAGATGCACTTTCGTGCTTTGATCTTTGCTGCGCATAGTTTAGCCGCTCAAAGGAAGCTAGCAGAAGATGTTTAGTCTGCATTTAATTGGAGGCTCAAACAAGATCAGTGATGTGGATTTCAGCCCGCAAACACTGCGCTGTCTCAACAGTTTGGGCGAAGTATGTCATGTCTAGTGCTCCTGTTTGTCGGTCTGTACGGGCTCCTGGGGGAATCGTGTTTTGTGTTTGTTCATGTGATTTCCTTCCTTCCGCTTCCTTCTGTTCTGAGCGCCGCTCACTGTGGCCTGCTTTAAGACTTTCAGAAGAAGCTTACATAGAGTTGAAGTCAAAGTTAGTCCTCTGAATTTTTCATTTTTGAATATTTCCCAAATGATGTTGAACAGATTCAGGAATTGTTCACGGTATTTCCTACAATATTTTTAATTTCCTTTTTTTAATGTAATTTCCTACAATTAAGTCTTATTTGTTTTATTTCAGCTAGACTAAAAGCAGATTTAATTTTAAAAACTATTTTAATTTCAAAATTATTAGCCCCCTTATTTGTGGTGGATTGTCTACAGAACAAACCACTGTTACACGAAAACTTGTCTAATTACCCTAACCTGCCTAATTAACCCAGTTTTAGGCTTTAAATGTCACTTTAAGCTGAATACTAGTATCTTGAATAATTTCCAGTGAAATATTACATGTTGTCATCATGGCAAAGGTAAAAGAAATCAGTTGGAAATGAGTTAATTTTGTTTAGAAATGTTTTTAGAAATCGTCTTTCCGAAAAAATACAAAAGGGGCTAATAATTCAGGAGGGCTAATAATTCAACTATATGTTGTTTTAAGTCAACATACAAAAACCCTCACTCTTCAGACGAGCCAGAAAGGATGACTTTTCAGTGAACTGCAGCATATGTTTCAGGTTCTGTCATTTAGCTTGTGATTAAGAAGTGCACTTGATTGAACTAAATATGCACTAAAATATTTTTTAAAAAGCAAATCATTTCATATTAATGCTATAAAATGCACTAAAAGGTCCTGTGAAGTGCTTTAAAAATGAGCATTTTTTTTGTTTTATTACGTAAAATCAATTGACGCTGAAAAGAGGGCGGGGCATGGAGTAGCTCCTTCCCTCTAAAATGAACAGCCAATAGCGTTTGATTTTCATCACAGCTCTGCCAGTGAACGCAGCTGAGCTCAAGTGCAGCAAATGAGAAGAAGGGGGCGGGGCATGTCAGACACTAGAGAGCATTTGATTGGTCAGATTTGACAAGAAACTGTGGTATGAGATGACATGAAAAAATAGTTTATCAAGTTTTGGACGTCTACATCAGTTTGATATTTTCTAAACCTGAATTTTGTCACTGTTTTGGAGCACACTAGCTATGGATATCCTTAAAACTAACAGAATGAAACTAACATATAGAATTTTTTTCTTTTTTATTTCACAAGACCTTTAACAGGAGTGTTGACCGCCTTCATACATCTTGTTTTGACGTTCTTTAAACATTAATTAGGGAAGTCAATCCCGCTTCAAACCCCCCTGTATATCGTACCCTGGATTCGTGGAATGTTTAAAACAGCTGTTCTCTCTTATGTGAAGTTTATTTATAAAGACATTTTGAGAGGATCACGTGCTTATGATTGACCACAGCTGGTCCTGCATTAGCTACCAATTGATTTACCAATCAGATGATTCCAAATTCACCATAAGCAACCAGAGTTACTTACCTTGGTCATCTTCGTCTTGAAGAATCCTCCCTTCCACCCTTACTCCCTTTTCCTTGATAGGGCAGCACGGTGGTACAGTGGTTAGCACTGTTGCCTCGCACCAAGAATTTCACTGGTTCAAGTCCTTACCAGGCCGGTCAACGTTTCTGTGTGGAGTTTGCATGTTCTCTCCGTGCTCATGTGGGTTTAGCTGGTTGCCTCCCACCGTTTAAAAACATGCAGCATAAGCGAATTGACTAAACTAAATTGAAATCACAGATGAGCTCTTAGTCAGCAGTATTTCTCTCCTTTGCAATCCCTAACTCATCAAGCAAAGGGGTTCTCAAGACCTAACAGAGCTTAACCTCCCCTCTCACCCTGCTGATTGGAGGGAGCCCCTGGCTCGAGGATCTTATGAGCCCTGCTGAAAAGTCCAACCTAAACCAGCCTAGGATGGTTGGCTGGTTTTAGCTGGTCGACCAGCCTGGTTGTAGAGGGGTTTTGGCCACTTCCAGGCTGGTTTCCAGCCATTTCTAATCTGGTTTTAGCTGGACAGGCTGGAAAGTGACCAGCTAAAACCGTCTACAACTAGCTTGACTAGCCT